GTGTAACACAGCGGCTGAGTGGGGCGTTCGGCGAGAAAGGTGGTTTACAGTTGTGACATAAATATGTTAGCGTAATTTAGCGCCATCTTAGTGCCCATAGCGGTTCTTTTGGTCTGCAGGAATTGCCTATTCTCGAATTTAAAGTGATTGTTTTTCAAAACCAGTTTCATCAGAATGAAAGGAACATCCCTCTCGATGTCAAGTGTGTGATGAGCGTGTTCGTACGCTTCGATCACTGCCACAATTCCGTCACTGTGGGGTATATTTGTATATAGGGAAGTCACATCAAGGTTTACGAGAAAAGCGTTATCCGGAATGTCTAGCGAGGCAATTTTCTGCAGGAAGTGGCTGGTGCCCTTAACAAATGAAGGGAAGGTTGGAGGAATGTCCTTGATCAGTGTATCGACAAGACTCGAGATGCATTCAGCGACTGTACCTATTCCTGAAACTATGGGTCACCCGGGGTTATTGATTTTTGTATTTTAGGGAGGACATAAAAGGCGACCGAGTTTGGAGTGGGATGGTTTCGTAGCGTTAAGGACCTCCTTGGTTATTTTGCCACTTTTCTTTAGAACTACTGATTTCTTTATGACGGCCGTTTCAAGACTTTGTGTAGGGTCTGTCGGTAGTTCGTGGTAAAATGATGCGTCATTCAATTGCCGAAAGCTCTCATCAAGATAATCTTGACTGTTCATAACAACTATGGAGCCGCCCTCGTCTGCAGGTTTAATAATTAAATCTGCCCTTTCACTGAGTCTTTTCAGGCACTAATTCTCTGACCAAGAAAGGTCATGTTTTGTCGGTCCGCGTGAATCTCCGATTAAGTCTCTCTTTAGTTTGTCCGCATCCATCTCCATGCTGCCGGCTATAACCATTTGGTTGATTTTAAGTAGTATCTCTCTTTCTGTGAAATATACTTTTATTCAGCAGTTCACCAATAGCTAGTATTGTCACCGAGCTAATATTGTCACGAATGACATATGATGAGGCGGCGAATTACTGAAGAAACTAAACGTTTAATGCGGCGATCGTGTGCCCAAAACAAAATAGAGAAAGGCTAGCGTCGCAGGTGCCGATGTCGGTGAAACAGCAGGATCGAGCGCTAGGGCGAGACTGAGTACTGCTCGCCCCGCGGAGCCCACTATGTACACGCGTGGGCTTCTAGAACATTCGGGGCCTAGAACATTGAGACCTCGAATACGCAACAGGGTTCTCATATTTACTAGAATGCGCGAGTTTATAGAGATAATAAAAATGTACGTCCGCTGCCTGGAATGAAACCGTAGCCCTTCGCGTGGTCCACGCGGGCGCGCTGCCTACTTGGTCAGCAGCGCGCGAGGCAATATTTCAACCCAAAGAATATACTAATATCGCCTTGGTGGGACATAGTACGTAAAATAGTACATAACGCGCATATTCGTCAAAATGACTTCTCGATTTATACTAAAACCTGAATTGAAATACGTGAATGAGCTGCTTAGGGGGGCGCCAGTGGGTTAACATGGTCCTTGGCTCAAGAAGCGCTTGCTTAACTTGAGAAATTTTTCTGCAGCCTGTGTTGTTGACTGAACAAACGACTGGATCTGTTATTTAAACGCGGATACTCGCAAAAGCTCAATTTTGCGGACACATAAGTCGCATGGTCGAGGCATGCGAGTTAGCCTAAATTTAATCTCAGTGGAACAAGTCTGTAGTCATCGACGCTTGCCTTAGCTGATCAAAACTGATTAGAGTCTATTAACGTCTTTCCGGAGCCAATAATTTTGGTTTTCAACAAAATCTCAGCAACAAAAGTTTGAGATGAAAAGAAGAAAAGCACAGAAAAAACAAAACTATGCTCTGCAAGTTTATATGCGCCGGCTACACTTAACTATCGCAGTTCAAATACCTGTAAAATATGGCATTGAACAAAAGTAATTGTGTTAAATTGAATGCGCCACCCGTTCAGGTGGCCCGGCCGTGCCGACCGGACCAGTTCCCAGCCGCCATGCTTATTTGGTGGTGGCGCCCCCTATAGCTCGCTGGAGTCACGAATATTGTCGGCGATATTACATCCAGCAGAAGTGACTCACAACCGTTCATCCAGGTAAAAAGGGTAAGGGTTGGGGACTGATTTATAAGGACAAAGGACAAACATAAAACCATACTAACCCGAACACTACACCTGTGCTCTGCGTTTCCGTCTTTTATACTGGTCGTTTTGAAAGTACGGAACTTTTCGGTGACTCCCTAAGCAATAAACAATATTCCTAGCACGTTCATTTTTTCCCAGCAATGTCATACCTCTGAGAGTATTTGGAATGGCTAAGGGGATGAATCTCTTATTAAAAAGTAAACGCTCGATCATGCCGTAATTATTTGAAAGCCAATAAATCAAGCAGCTCAAATCCAGTTAGAAGCCATGAGTTTGTTTCCCCACACGGCACGTCGTAGCCTGTATTTCTATTGGTTTTTCTATTTGTGCTGTTCGCGCAAAGCTGCAATTGCCGTCTTGACTTAATCTCTGTAGAGCGGATATTCACTCAGCTGGAAGTGATGCTTCACGGACTGAGAAATCGTTTTTCGATCAACTTGAATGCAGTCAAAGCCGCGACTTAAGGCAGGTGTTAAGTGTACGGAGCTACGCCGCGGCGAGCCCGAAAACTCCTAGCGCTCATCCCAGCGCGCCACGGAGGGCAGTTTCTCCAGGAACCGTAGTATATTTAAACAGCAAAATAAAGGGTAGCTTTTTTTTTTCGGTTTTACCTGTTATTGTTTTTCGATGCCGAAATTCCAGGCTGTAAATATACGTACTTTCCGTCACGATTTCGTACTGTTCAGTCCTTGCCCCAGAGCGCAATCGCTCTCGGGGACGAGACAATTCCGACAGTCACATTGGCCACTGTACGATAGGAGCTTCTACTGTTCAGACCAGCGTTCTAACATGACTATCCGCACGTTGATCGATTGCACGTAATCCTTCAAGTGTCATTAAACCTTTTAATGTAAAGCGGAATGTCAATCTGCGACACCCCGCCCCCTCCGATCACGGCCCGTCCAGCGGCATCAATGCCCAACAGTTTACGATCTCATCTTCTTGTTAGACCACTGATACGCGAACACACGGTCACATCGGCGATAATTCCAGTGTTCTGTTCACAACCCACAGCACTGCCATCACGATGTTGCAGCTATGTTGCTGATACGCACAAACACAGCACCAGGTTGAACGCCTGTTGCACTCGGCATCGGAAAACAGAACCGAGCTCAGGGGGAAAGGCACCCAGGCAGCCGGCAGCAAAACCTGCCTGTCTTGGACGCAGTTCCTGCGGTTTCCATAACGTCGAAAACGCCGACACAGTTCCGCGTGGTTTCGCTACCGTAGTGACTGTAGTGCTGTAGTTCCGTGCCGCGCGAGTCCCGCAATCCGGAGACGGCTATCCCCCAGTGTACGTGGGACTGCTGGCACTGCTCCGGAACTTCGCTGTTTCTAGCGGCTTCGTTTGCTCGTGTGATAAAATTAGTGATAAAAATGTCAATGCAACCGAAATGTTCTGCACGTTTAGACTAGAAGACGGAATTACAGACGGCCTTCGCTGCCGCTGAAGCTCAATCAACTCAACAGCTATTTACTAAACAACGTGCGCGACCTGCTCGAAAAACGAAACCGAAAGACGATGAGTCGGGAGGGCGAAAGCTTTCTCCCGTCTGCCTGGAGAAGGAGAAAAACGTTTCGTTCCTCCCCTTTTCTCGTGTCCGCTTGGGGGCGCGTCAGTTGAAGGGAGGAAGACGCGCCGTTGCTACTTTTTTCCTCCATTTTTTCTTAGAGTGTGGTAGGTTTGCATTCTCCGGGAGTCTTGCTTTCAAAAGGGTACACCCGCGATTTTTTTCAGCAACCCCACCTAACTGTATTTTCGGACTCACTGGCATTGACCTTTTCCTGAATGCTATTTAGTATCGCAAAATTCTTAATAGTTATTGTGGAATCGGCACAGTAACAATGATACCAAAGCCAACATTCAAATATAACCGCGTTTTTCAGTGCCGTGACATCAGGGGAAGGCAGGCTCGCAGGTCGAGCGGGCAGTCTAGTAACGGACTGTGCCGTGCATTCGTTTCGTGTTGACGCACCGGTGCTGGAACGAGTTTCCAAAGCATTTCTTTAACAACATCAAACTACTTCTAATCAGTTGGGAACAGTCTAAAGCCCAAAGAGTGATCCCCTGCTTTTCCCTGATGTCTCTTTTTCATTGCTGCCAGTAGAGACTTTCTCTTTAAAAAAACAGGGCAAATAACAAAATCGTACATTGAATAACTTCGCAAAAACACCTACTTCTGGCCCAATCTTTGGATTGATATTTTAGCCATGTTTGTTGGACTGTCATATGAATTTTGATGCAAATTGGAGCCTCTGCAGAAAAGGCCTGAGTACGCTTTTAAGTGCTTCATCTGGTGCCCCATGACTATATACACTTTGTACTACTCTGATGGACCTAAGGCTATTCGGTCCATTTTACGTTGCAGTGAACAGTTACCGGTTTTTAAATATATTTCGGCGAATAAAACGCATTTGGTATTAAGGATAGCAATTAGTTTCCTTCCCTTCTTTTTTTTTGGGGGAGAGGGGAGGATTTTTACTGTTTGTACTTGAAGGATTATGTTTCACCGCTTTTAACTAAAATGCCACCAAGCTCTCTGTAGGGCTAACATTTGCTATTCCATTTTTGCTAGATGCGGTAGTGCATTGCGGTAGTGCACCCAAGTAGTGCATTGGATCCGCGACAACAAATTTCAGGACCACTTGATTTGATCATTGAGAGATCATTAATGGTAACGAAAAGGGAAACCTATCTAACCAAGAGCTTGCTTCTACAAGTAATAGGATTATTTATTTCATCCCTCAGAAGTGAAAAAAATTACAAGAGTTGGAACTTCCGTTGAAGGAAATAAGTTTAGGTTAGACCCAACTAATGACGTAAGTACAGCTTACACCACCGGCGTAATTTTGTCCTTCCAGTGCCATGTACTACATCACCATCATCGACACGGTGCTGACGCTCATCGTGCCCTTCCTGCTACTGACGGTGATGAACTTCATGATCGCCAGGTCCATCTACCTCTTCTACGCCAGGTATCGCCAGCAGAGAGCCTTCTGCAGGGAGGGATACCCCATGAGGGTGTTTATAAGTAAGTCTCGCACGCATCGTATGAAAAAAAACGTGTGCTTTCAAGTTATTGATTACGAACTTACAGTATATTTTATATGAATTCTAAGATGGAGTTTCCTCGCAAAAAATGTGCAATGAAGAGAGTGATAGTACATCACTTGTAGATACACTTGACCATGTTTTTGAACATGATGGACATATTTGTGTCATGTACCTCAACATTGTAATTTGAATACAGTTTTAACTACCCCCTTCAAAATGGTTCATCATATTTAATATTATTACAAACTCGTAATTGTAGAATATATTTTTAAACATTGAAACTAAAACGTAATTAAATTAAAACCTGAAAACTCTACACATTTAAATATTGCAACTACAAATAATCTAGTACCCGTAATTCATTCACTGCACTTTAATTCCTGTTTAAGTCTGCAATTACAGAGACGCAGCGCGTACGTTGACATAAAGAAATGCACCAAAATTTACTGTTTTTCTCCCTAATGCAATATGATTTAAACTGGTTTATGAGGAAGTGCGATGACGAAAGGAAATGAATTATTTCGGCGTTTCACCTAGGTATACTTACTGCTCATTAAACAAAACGTTAAATCTGCCCAAAGTGCCTTTTGTTACAATCCCGTACCTAATACTGATACGACGGACGAAATACATTTGCGTCTGATGGATCAGGTGCGCCTCCATTTTCCAGGACGTACGCCAAATTTCAATAAAAATGCTCCGGAGAAATATCTTGTGATCAAAAACAATTATCGCCAAATCGATGGCTTGCCTAAACTGCTGCTCTAGGCTCACGTTCCTCTAATTTTGAAGCGATACTTCGGTCTGCATTGTTAATTTTGCTAATGTAGTGAACTTTTCCAAGTTCACAAGCGCTTAATTAACAACTGTGCGTTTTTTTTTTATAACTTGTTTACTTTGCTGAATCTGATTTGGATGCCAACATTCAGTACTCATTTATTAAAGTTTCAAATTACGCCATTTTTTAATTAAGTACACCTGTCTTCACCTCTTTGGAAAATATAAAAATACACTTCTTTTTGTCACGACCAGGCATAGCAAGGTGAAGTCCCATTGGCTGCTAGTGCTCTCGTTATGGTAAATTCAAGTTGATGAAAAGTCCCTGGATGCTCAGTGAAGTCCAGACGAAGGGTATCTTAATTAAGTCACTTTCTGGTACCTCAAAATAGTGTCAGAAATTTACTAAAATAACTTTATAATTGCCTGAATAAGACACGTGCGAATCGACATGCACTTTTCCCCCAAAATAATATGCTTGACAACTTCGTGTCGTAAATGTAAAGTGTAATGTGTGATTTTCATTTAGAAAGTAGATTTCATTACGGAAGTGCCCCATCCAGGCAATTATGATTTCGCTGTTAATTAAAGTTCTAAAAAAGCAAAAGTAAACAAAACGCAAACGTAAACAAAAATAAAAAGAATAAGACGCATGGCAGAAAGACGTAATAGATGAAAATAAGGGTCCTAATAAACTTGTTATTTATGTCATTACAAAAAATTTCTGTTGGATAATATTTTTAGGTTTGGAAAACTAAAAGTAAAAATTACCTAGAATGACTCTCTAAAGGAACTCGTGAATTCTCACTTAATTTTAAAAGTGCGTAGGACCAGTACGTTAATGAACTCAATAGTGTATAAAAACAAACACCAAAAGATTTTTTTCCAGGATCTAATGGGATACGTTGATTTCAAATTGTAGCAATAAATAAAATTATTCTTAATCGCAAGGTAGCTGTACGTGATGCAGGGTTTCCAGCGTATTCAAACATTTCTTTTTGTTCGTTTTTCTTTTTCCGAAATTCGACTGCAACACTTTACATTTCATTAACACTGCAGCCAGGCGACGTTAAAGGGCCACTGACATATTCAACTCATTTTTTTTAATTATCCGAAACAATCGAAAACGGTGCCAGGAAATTACCCACAAAATTCGAAGCTTGGGAACTCAGTATTTGTGAAGTAAGAAACAATTTCCAAGAGCCGAATGTAAAGTCTTCGCGCAATCCGGGACAGTGGAGTGACGTCAAAGATTCAGTCGTCCTGCAACTCGAGTTTATCTCCCGGCTCCGAAGTTCCCCAGCCGGAAGTCTCCTGTTGGTCCGCAATAAGCCACACTTCTCTGTGCGTGCCGCCAATCACTGCGAGCAGAAGACGCTTTACTTCGAGTTTCAAGCTCTTTTATTGCCCTTTCAGCGATCTGAACTTCTTTGAAACGCCGAGATGTCAAATGGAACGCGTAGTGGACTTTGGTGAGGAACCTGAGGAACCATGGTCGCGCTTGTGCGGCATAACCAGCTGCACCGCGACGGGTCGACGAAGATTATGAGGTCAGCCTAAGCGTCTGTACAGCGTCGCAGGTTCAAATGATACATCGGTTGAGGCAGTGTTGTCGTTCCGTCGAACTTGCCGCAACAAGGCACATTACACGAAGGAAAACGTCCAAAGCCAGAGGTAATTCTGCAACACAAAGAGAACTTCGTTCGACCCTCCCACTCCCCGATCCTCCTGTCTCCTACACGCTCTGCTACTGGTGCTGAGCGCCGCCATGTTCTCCGAGGAAGCATAAAAAGCCAGTAGGCGATATCACTTCCGGTCTCCTATTTTTGACATTGCAATTGCGTTGAAAACATGTCTTGCTAGTGCCCCTATTTAATAATATAGAAATGACGCTTACAAATCATCCAAATTCTATAACCGATTGTGTCACAAATATAAAGAAGTGAGGATGTAAGAAGTGGCAGAGAAGAATGCCAAAGAGAAAAGATAGCGCGTACGCGCGTGCGAGATAGTTTTTTTTTTTCGTTTTGGTATTACTTGTGTTTTTATAAATACAACTTCCATCGACGTTTAGACAATAAAAACAAAAAATACGGCCCTTGGGTTTACTTGTCAGTGCTCCTTTAAGGTGACCTTAGCGCGAGATATAAAGAACTGGAACGACGCTAATGTCAGTGTCCGGGCGGTTTTTCTCCTTGTATATATGAGCGCGGTTCATCTGATTTCACTTCATTGCCTTTGTTAACGAGATATACAAAACAATTCTCAAAACATTTATTTTTTACTATGTTAATGTTTAACAACATAAAATGTAACAACAGAGCTGAAATCAAGTCCGAAGGTGGCTAAAGTCCGAAGGTGGCTGAAGTCCGTAACCTCTATCAACGAAAGGGCGTCAGTTTGGAAACTTTCTTCCCAGCTAGACATCGTTTCGTAGTTCGCGCGAGAGGTGGCGCTGCAGTAGCACTAAGATTGATTCTCGGCGTTGCCTTGTGCTCGTTGTTGTATTCCTCGTTTCTTCGCTGGCGTCATCCGTGGCTTGTCGTAAGCGCGTAACTTTTTCTTTTTTTTTTGGCGCCGAGCACTTTGAGTCGTTTGTCAATCAATCGGCCTGCATGTCGACCTGCTATGCTCCCGGCTGTCGCAGCGGGGGCACCTCGCAAGCGTCGAAAACTAAAGATAAGTGTTATATATTCAGTGCTCGGAAGGATGGTGTGCGCCTGAAAGACTGGCAGAACGCAATCTCTTAAAAGTTTACGCCCACATAATTAGACTGTGCGATTTGCATTTTCCGTCCGATGACATTAATAATCTCTCATTACTCGCACGTCAAAGATGCGGAGGCGGTTCTTACGGCCAAGGTCCAGCATTTATTAAAAGATACTATTCGACGTCTTTTTCGGAATGTCCCCGCACATTTCTCGAAACAAACTAAGAAGATCAGCAAGCAAAATACCCCCTTCGACTGAAGCCTTGCTCAGGTTGCAGCCAGTTCTGTTACTCTGGTGTGGTGCTTACATGGGGACCCGAAGCAGATGATGACAGCAACCGAACAGACACGCGTGCCGACGTTTCTGACATCTGTTCCAGAACTTCAGGAACACAGTCGCTAGTGCAAAAACTCATAACGTTAAAGGACACCCTAGGATCACATAATTTTCTACAAGCTCGTGAAGAAGCAAGGCGTAGTTTCTGCGATAGGGGCTGTCACATCCATAAAGGGTCCCCTTTTCGTTGTCAGCACAATGGGAAAGCTGGTGCCAGAGACAAGCTATATGAGTCAAAGTACTGTTCGGTCATGGTTATGACCCTTCGAAGAATTGAGATTGTCTTTGGGTTATGTTGATTACTTCCAAATGTGTGCTGGAAGCCCTTTTGAACTCCTTTCAACTGTCGAACCCCAACAACAACCGTCTCGAATTGTTGATTTCTAAAAAAAAGTGGATTTACAGCTCAAAAACGGATGATCATTCCCAAATCGACGCACGTTACCGGAGAATCCGCGGCGGATATGGTAGAGCCCGCAGCAGGCCATGCAGGCGACGCAAGTGCAGCAGACGACGCGCGGTAGATCGATCTCACTGCGATGGAAGCACCACTGTTTCGCCCTCTACCGTAGCGGCCCGCGCTCCTCCACTGAATGCCGATTGAGTTACCAAACCGACCCCGTCTAGTAACGTTGCCCACATGGAGCTCTATAAAATGTCAATAATATGTGTGCATAAGATAGCCTCAAGCAAAACGGTCCAACATCGTAAATTATTAGTGACGAGAGAAAAACACGCATTCGCAGTTTTCGCTCGAAATCTAATGAAGTGACGTTCTCAGACGCCGATTATTTGCGCGGTAAACGTCTTTTTCTTTTCCTTTTTTTTTTGTAAACTACTTGCGTATGTTTTCACTAGATGGTGCTGTAGTTTCGATCTTTACGATTAAGCGGGATGAGACCGAAACTATTAAACAAACAAAATTATATGGTCTGTTGCCTGTAGGTAACACTCACAATAAAAGGTTCACCCATGGAAATAAAATTTCGAAGGGTATACTACCAAGTAACGAAATAACCACTCACATTTTTTTTCTATTCATGAAGGTACCCGGAGAAAAATGTGGATAACGATTGGCCTTTGTTATTGACCTTTATATATAGTTAGATCGTTCAACGTATTTACTATTCATAGGTGGCGAGGAGTTAACGGCGAACACTTTTTTTACTATAAGAGCAACACGAGCTTTTTAAACGCTTGTTCCTGTGCCACAAAAACCCAATGAATTTCACGTCTTTACATCTGATGTAAATGAGAGACGAAGAAACGATAGTATATCTCTTCGTTTTTGCAAGGCGTCGGATCTGGTTTCACACAAACTATTTCTTCATGAGCTCAAAACATCTACAACCTTTTTGATTTCGGTAAGGTAAGATGCATATTGTTTTGTTACAACGTTGGCAATGTGAAACAGTGAAAATCAAAAGTTGCGCTAACGTGGATGTAACATCCAAAATTTGATTTCGCTTTGTTTTAGAATAAATTTATTTAGATTCAGTATTCATAATATTCGATTAAGATGCGTGTGGGAATCGTTGTCCAACTTGAAGGGCGCTGTGCCGTGCGTAGGCTTTGCGCGTAAAAAAAAAATCAATGAGCTACAATTATCCAGGACTCTTTGCGGGATGCCAGGAACGGCACCGAGCCATTCGATTTAAATCAGTATTCGGGCACCGTGCTATAGACCAACACATTTTTTTACAAACAAGCCGGTGTTTGCCCACACGTGGTGTCTCCATTGCGCGTGCGCAGAAACCATATTTGCGTGAGGCTAAGCATCTGCGCATGCGTAGTGCCGACGACAGCTCCACCGCAGTGGTTTTGACGTCAGAGGCTCGAGTTGGTCTATACTCCATCTCACTACCGACGCTAAGAACCATTTGAGTAAATGAGGAACATCCAAAAGCTCAATGTGCGTTTGTGCGTTACTATCACCTACAAAAACCTACATGCACAGTGAATGCGCCACAATCTTGCGCTTTTTTTGTGTGTGCACGATATATTTAGCCAGTGACGGTAAACACACCAAAGTGATTGGATGGATAGATTTTAATGGCTATACCCTTTGTAAATGGCTGTAGCTGGCGCCATTTAGCCAAACCAACGGGCGCCGTGCCTATGCTCTTTCGGCGTCGATTAATTGACTCAATCAGAATGTAGTGTCGGCTGCGGTAGGTTTTTTTTAAGTGAAACGACGTATAATGCCCACGTTCCTGGGTATTTTTGCTGACGTCATTTTTGCCTATGCTTGTAAACTCCTGTGTTTTGTTGGGTTTTTCAGATCCCCTTCCTTCGAAGCAGAATGGCTCGGGCAGCACTCTGCACGCCACCCAAAGCGGCAGCAACGTCATTACGCCTGTGACGCAGATGAGCGTGACCCGAATGCTCCTGCTCGTGTCCACGGTCTTCATCTTGCTCAACCTGCCCAGCTACGTCTTGCGCATCTACGTTTTTCTGCTCTATTTTGGCGATGCCGAGTCCCTGGAGGCGGCCTCCGGTTCCCTGGCTTACATCCTTCAGCGATACTGTATGATTTTGTACTACACCAACTTCGCCATCAACTTTGTCCTGTACAACGCGAGCTCCAGAATGTTTCGCGTCACGCTGTGCGACTACGCGAGGAACCGCTGGTTGGCGTTCCGCAACTCCATTGTTAGACTCCGGAATACCTTGTCGCACTCTTCGACGAGTCAGAACGACGTAGTCATCATGTAGAAGACGCTTACCCGGAGACCGGGCTGCTGTATGATCGTGAACATCTTAAGCTCTCGAACACCTGGCAGGCTCCGTTCGTCTGCGGACGTGTCCACTGTTGCACTGCGGTTCGCCTTGTTGCATTCTTCAACAGGTCAGAACGTCAACATCGTTTTCCAGAAGTTGCTTTATCGCAGATCGTACTTACGTGCAGTGGTGAGGAAGCAGAGTTCTTGAACAGCTTACACTGTAAAACCATCTGAACATTGGTCCCCTGTTTCATTGCGTCTCCCCTTGTCACGCTCCTCAACGAGGCACAACGACGATATTACAATATAAAAGTGGTTTCATTGCGGAAAGGACTGCTTTGTGACGGCAAAGAATTAGACTTTTTGAAAGACATTTAGACTGCGAGCATATGCTAACTTGTACATTGTTACATTGCGGTCCAGCTTGACACCTTCCCGAGATGCCAGAACGATGACATTATTACATAAAGTTTGTTTATTACGGACCGGGCTGCTTCGCCGCTGTGTCAAATGAGTTCTTGAACACCTGGAAGACACCAAACGTAGAGGGACTTTAGGGCGGAGGACGTGGAGTTGTGCGTGTGTGTGTGGGAGGGGGGGGGCTGTTACGGGGCTTAAGTGGTAAGCCCATGGTGACATACATTTTGAGACGAAGCATGTTGGTTTATAAATAAAAGTAGACAGAGATGATGGAAAGACGGAACGCTTTGCCTCGAACAAACTTCGAACTAACAGTCACCAGTAGACACTTTGCCTTCGCTTGTTATAGGCTGCTCAGTATTGTTGTTTGGTCACTCATTGCTGCCAGAAAACAGAAGCGCAATGCAGAGTTGCGACCATCATAGAGGATCACCAGCCTATATTTCCACGTAGCAAGATCTCAAAGCGAGAACAAATATTGCTCTGCCATTGAAGTGCAGGACGCAATGCCGGTTTGTAATCTTCAAAATATTCCGCAGTAAACGGAGTGTTAATATTCAATTAGACGGTAATTTCGAACAAAGCCACACATTGTTTGATTTTTTTTCCATGTCAACCCAGAATTAGCTACTTTGATTGTGACCTTCATAAACATTTCAGATAAAATTGAGTTAACACTGAAAATTGTTCAAGTGCGAGCTTTGATAATACCAGACGTTGTCGTTCGTGCAATCGTAGCTATTGCTACGACTGCACGAACGTCGAAATCGCGTACGTGCTTGCGTATACGCAAGCACTTCTGCGACTTTGATGTGTGGATATAAAACCGTGGGGCACAACTCAAAATGACGCCGGCCCCCCCAAAAATGTTTATTGGAACTGCGCGGGTTTTCAATATCTATCAGAATGCTTTTAAAGAACTGGCATCCTCGCTCTGGTTGCCGCCTTGAACGCATCTCGCAGTGTCATGTCCCTGTTCCGCACAGGAAGTGGCCGCGGGCCGCATGTTTCACACCCAATTATAAAACATCGGCAACACATGAAAGTAAACATCTTCGACAGAAATCTGTGTGGTTTGCGGGGTCGTGGCATATCCAGAACACACCGGGTAAGATTAACAGGTCCCCGGCGTCTTACTATCTATTTACGTCCATGGCCTGCGTCACGTTGACAAAACATCACCTCGGTAGAAGAGGAAGGAGAGGTCGACGCTCGCGCTGTCCCATTCCTTTTTCAGTCACCCCTGAAGAAGAGTCAAGTCGACCGCGAAACGTTGGGAACTCTTTGTCTCTAAACTTTTGGTTTGAGTTTTCATGTTTTTTTTTTGGTAATTGATCCCCAAACCAGACAGATTTCTGTCGAGATGTTTACTTTCAAGTCATCCATTGACTTGGCACCGGAGACAGCCCAGCTAGCGAAGCGGTTTGTCGACATCACCCGCAGCATCGCTACCTACAAGACCTATATTAATTTCACGAGGGCCTGCCAGGACTTGCACGTGATTCCCCAAAGCCTCCGTCTCAAGCGCCTCGTACACACCCAGTAGGGAGACAAGATCTTGGCACAGGCGGAGCACCAGCTGGTAAGCGCCAGGATTCAAGATTGCCACTCCATCCTAAGGAGGAAAGAACTGGACTTGTACTCACGCGTCGGCAGCTCGAACATCGCATCCCCGGTCGTTCGCTTCCAGTATCGCCCCCCGCTACTAGAGAAAAATGACAAGGATCTAAAAAAATAAAGCTTTCTAAGCTAAGAAAAAAAGACCCATAAAGGGGAGGCGCTAATACCGCCAGTTTTGTCACGAACCTCTCTTCAAGACAACTCTCACCCCTGCGAGATAAAAGTGTTGGCAAAAGGCCACGGCTTCAACATGACCACGACCCGGCCCCCTCTACCAAAAATGGTTGCCGCTGTGGAAGACGGCTTTGCGCTCCTATACCCTAGTGTCCGAGCAAGCGACAGCCTTCTCGGACGCTAGGGCAATAGGCATCCTTTCAAAACCTTCGCCGAGGCAACGCCACAATCTATCTCGCGATGAAACTGCTGCGCTTTGGAAGCTCCGCGAGGATACAGAGATTCTGCTACTGCCGGCAGATAAAGGAAAATCTACTGTCGTCCTGGACCGGGAGGGGTACGAACAGAAGGCACGGGATCTTCTGGGAAGTCCGGACAATGAAAGGCTCAAGAAAGATCCAACGTCCCAAATTCAACGGAACATGAACAAGATGTTGTCTGACATTTTCAAGCAATATCCAGAGTCGAAATCATTTTACTTGCATCTCATCTGCAGGAATGACTCTGCGCCAAGCTTCTACGAACTACCCAAGACCCACAAACCTAAAGTCACCTTAAGACCTATCGTAGACTTTACGACCTCACCGCTCCGAGCGCTATCAAATTACCTGCACCGGACTATAGCTCCCCTTGTTGGAAATACGCCGACCTATGTGCTGAACACCGGCCACTTTGTGGAACGTGCCTTGCAAGTGAGACTCAGAGATGATGACACGATTGTGTCTTTCGACGTTGTGTCACTCTTTAAATGGTATTCACACGAGGGAGAAATCCCGGAGATTTCTCCCCGGCACGCGCGCATCACGAGATGAAAACGCGAGGCTTTTGCACGTCTCAACGCCTGACGTTTTCGTCGTGGGATGCACGTGCCGGGGAGAAATCCCCGGGATTTCTCCCTCGTCTGAATACCCCTTTACCAGCGTGCCAGTTCCCTTAGCAGCTGCTGCAGCCAAAGAGGTTCTCGAGAAAGACGAAACATCGGGCTCAAGAACCAGACACAGTGTTTACGAGCTATGCCGTCTTCTCGAGTTGTGCCTTGGCAGTACGTACTTCAGCTTCAAGGGTGAGCTTTTCAAACAAGTCAGCGGAACGGTGATGGGCGCGTCTATTTCGGTCACGACGGCAAACCTCATAATGGAGTTGGTTTAACAGAAAGCGCTTAGCACTTTCGCCAACAAGCCAAAAGAGTTCATGTGTGTGTAGATGATTGTTTTCGCATCATGAAGAAATCAGGGGTGAAACACTTCCTCGCACACCTGAATTCCATAGAACCGGCCATCCAGTTCACTGTAGAATACGAGAGAGATGGAGTCTTGCCGTTTCTCGATGCTCTGGTGAAAAGGCAAGGAGACAAGCTGGGATTCACTGTCTACAGGAAGCCAACACACACCGGACGCTACCTTGATTATTACTCGAACTACCCAACGAGTCACAAGACGTCGGTGGTGTCTACTCTCTTGTGTAGAGCAAGCTGATCTGCTCATCGGAAAGAGACAGAAGAAAGGAGAAACAGACCATACTTGCTGACCTCCAAAAATGGCTATCCAAGGAGTTTTGTTCAACGCGTCGCCCGTCGACAGTGCTGCACGCGCAATAACCATGGATCGTCAGGTGACACACAGCCCCGCCCCATCGCGGGCATCAGTGTCTTCTATGTAAAAGTGACGAGCGAGACACTTTCGCGAGTGCTCTGAAAAAAAGCGATCCAAAAAAATTGGGTTGTGTGTGTGTTTATACAGCCTAGAACTTGGTCTGCCTCAGAGGGGCAACGAGTCTCCCAGCTGTAGATGAGAAATTTAGCCAGTGCGGTATAACCGCTAGCCTGGGGTCTTTAACGTGCATCACGCAGTAGTGATACACGACCGCACTCCGGTACGATGCTCATCCAGATCGAAACGGGCAGGGGTGGGGCTCGAACCCAGGATCCCTGGGTTCTGCAGCGCGAGCAAAAGCGATCCAAGTGGCGCACAAGCCAGTGTCCACATTAGGAGGGCTCATGCCAAGGCCGAAAGATCGCGTCCCAAAAGAGAAAGCACAAGATACCGTGTGCGGAGTGCCCCGCCACCTACATCGGTAAAACTAAATCTTTTCCCGAACGCATGCGCCAGTTCCAGAACGATGTGCACTAGAGCCACTAAATAAGCTGCGCTTAGAGTATCGGCACTCCGTTCCTGGACATTGTTGTGGGCGCCGCCATTTTGGCTCGTATGCAGAACAGAGGCAACGGCCGATCGTCATGATTCAAAAGTGCGACTTCCTCAGCATTAGATTCGGTGTTAGGAAGGTCACGTAATATTGCTTTGGTCTGTCGCGAACGGTTTAAACATTTGTGGAGGGCGGAAAAGCATTTCCTGTGATTTCAGATAAAGCTTCAGATAACTGGCAACCATGGTTTTAAGCCACAATATGGCCAAGTGCCGTTACTCTGAAGCGTAGCTTATTTAGTGGCACTAATGTGCACAATTTCGATCGCGAGCGTAGCGCCGTCGCGGAACATTGTGAGGTATTTGATCATCGGATCGACTTCGGAAAGGCGCACGTGATAGGCACGGAGCCCCATACTTAAAAACGCCTGTTCTTGGAGTCGTGGCATATCCAGAACACACCGGGGAACATAAACAGGTCCCTCAGTGCCTTGCCATTTATTTACGTCCATGGCCTGCGTCACTTTCACAAAACATCACCTCGGTAGAAGAGGAAGGAGAGGTCAAAGCTCGCGCTGTCCCATTCCATTTTTAGTCACCCCTGAAGAAGGAGTCAAGTCGACCTCGAAACGTT